TGTCCATTTAGAACATAGGTGATCATGGCTCTCCACAGATTCCTTTTCTTTATTATCTGCAAATTGCTATGATTTCTTGGGGAAAGTGGTTTCTTGTTGGTTTCTACAAGGTTTTGAATTTAGAGTAGTCCCTGTCCTAAACTGGTTGCCACCCAGGTGGAGAACACTGTCTACCCTGCTATTTAACCCATAATTCTATTGTCATAGGTAAGAAATATTTCTGTTTTTTAAAGAAATCATTTTCTGCTTTTTTTCTTTTATTTCTTCCAGGAAAACTGGTAACTCTTGTACTACATTGCACAAAATGCTTTTTTATTTCTATTTCACTTTTTAGTGCTGCAATGAGCATGTCCTTAAATGGTTCTGTAATTTTAGCTATTAATCTTGATAATCCATCTACATGTCCTAATTTTTTAGACAGCTGGTACTCCATCATAAAATCATAGTTTAATAAGATGATACCTCAGCATTGTAGTCTATTAACTGTATGGATTGGTATTCCTTTCTTTGAACCATATATTATTAATAATATGAGCAAAGGTTTTCATTTTACTGTCATCATATTTGTGTAAAAATCATCAGTCTAATACTATACTCACTAGCATTTGATGCCACTACAATTTTTGCTTTTGTATCATAGTGTGCTCGTGATAAATCTGACATAAGTCTTTTTTTATTCTGTCAAATAATTACTGGCTAATTACTATCAAATATATGTACATATATTTGATAGTAATTAGCCAGTCCTTGAAAAGCCTGTAGTAGTTATGTTTGTTGGTGGAGGCATATTTTTAATTGCACTTGTCCTCAACGGATCTGTTTGACAACCATTTTTGTCAATAATTTGACCAAGGTATTTCATTTTTGACTAAAACCATTTGCATTTTTCTCCATTGAGCTTGAATCTATACTCTCTTAGTTTTTCCAAAATTGTTTTCACATGCCCATGTTGTTCTTTAGACACTTTTGATTAAAATGTTGTCCAGATACACCAGTGCAAAATTGCAATCTGCAAGCATGATATCCATAGCCTGTTGAAAAATAACTGGTGCCAACTTTATACCAAAAGAAAGTTGGTTAAACTTATATAATCCTCTGAGTGTATTTATGGTCATGATTTCTGAACATTCATTTTCAATCTGAATTTGTAAATACACTTCAGATTCAACTTTGAAAATATTCTTCCTCCATTTAACTTTGGAAATATTTCATCTGGACTTGATAATGGGTAGGTTATGTGTTTCTAAACAATTTTTTAATCCTGTCAAGAAATCCACACAAACACAAATTTTGTTGCTTTTTTTCTTTACATACACTGCGAGTGCAGCCCATTTTGAATAGTTAATTTTTCCTATTACACCAATTCTTTTGAGTCATTGACTTGTTCCAATGCTGCAAATAGTACACTCAGTTTCAACTTAAATACTGTTGTTGAACCTTTTTTTACATGAAAATCCACCTTGAATTTTGAACACTGAGCCAGTTCATTTGACAGAACATCTGGAAAACATTTTTTTTAATTCTTCCTTAAGATTTTCACTCCGACTTTTTAAATTGGTCACTTGTCCATTTACATTTTTACAGTAAACATTTATCAGCAAATCCCAATGTTTAAATAATTCTATCCAATCAGTACTGGATATATTTGGAGCATTTTTTAATACATAAGCTTTAGCTTTTACATGACTTGTAATGTACCATTCCATAGAATGGTACATTACAAGTCATTTCTCAAAAGAAAAAATTTCTCACCAGAAACTGAAATCACAACTTTGGAAATCCTTTTTAATAAAGGTTTTCCAATTTCCTTTCATGTGGTTTCACTGATTATTGAAATATCACTACCAGTGTCCAGTTTCATTTTCACACCTACATTATTTATTTTCACATTCACAAATTTCCTTTTGTTTTCTGTGACTATTTGTTCTGTTGCAATGCTGTGTATGAATTTCTTCCTATGAGAAGGTTTTCTTGATTTGGGTTTGCTGTGTGACTTTGTCATCTTTTATTGCACTTGTAACATTCTGCATTTTTAAATGGACAATCATTTCCAAGGTGTAATTTACTACATCTGAAACAAGGATTTATTTTCCTTTTTGTACATTTGTCCTTTGTTTGTACTAATGCACATTCTTTTTTCTGTATTTCTTCAGCATTGTGTTTCAGACTTAGAATTGTCTGGCAATCTTCCACTATTTCTTGCAGTGTAATATTACTGTTTTGTTCAATTTCATTAAAACTTTTGCTCATATTTAGCATCTTTTTTAACAGTTAAACCTTGAATGAAACCTTTTGAACATATCTGGAGTCATTTCCTTTATTTTAAACTTTTGATACCAGCATACATAACAAAATCTTTGTCCTCTTTTTTGGTTAGATTCTTGCACCTCCAACAAGCATTAAAAATCTTGTCATTAAAGATTTACATCAGAATGTGTACCATGTCTTCAAAACCAATTTCACCAGGTTTTTTCAGTAATATATAGTTGCAGTATTTTCATGCTCTACCAGAGCTATTTTCCTCAACAACTATCTAGTTTTCTCTCATCCTCCCAGCCACTGCATTCCTGACTGAATATTTGTTTATATCTACGAAAATATGCAGAAAAAGTCAGCCCTTCATCAGGATTGTATACAAATTCTGATATGGTGTTTTGGACCTCATTTGGCATAAGAGAAATTGAAAAATGTTTTTGTTTTCTTCAGAATTATATACAAAAACTCTTGTTGCTGTTTTTGTAGTTCTAGGAGCTGTTGATTCTGTTGTTATCGCTGTTTCAAAATTTGCTTCATATTCACAAGAATATGTTTTTCTACACAACAAAAAAGTTTCAAACAAACCTTGTTAAAATTTTTGTCATCACATGTATCCTTGTTCCTGAAGCAACAAGTATGTATATTCTTTTTTTCTGTACTTGTTCACTTGTATAAATTTTCAAAATTCTTGTAACCCCAGTTACAACTCATATGAGTTCCTGAATCCTCATCACAACAGTTATAAATCACCTGAGGTTTGAATCCCTCACTGCCACTGTTATAATGCACTTATAATATAAGTAATGCTTTTGGCTACTTGCCGTGATGCCAGTATTAATTAGTCTGAAGACTGACTTCAAATGCCTTCTTCTCTTACCTCTGGAACTCTTTATTTATAGTTAAGGACTTGTTCGTATAGTCACCTGGGGTGTACTATTTTCTCCACAGCAATAGTAATAAGAGATAGATCTATTTTGATTTGTCAAAGAAATGTTTATTATTTGAAAATATTCATATTTTTGTGTCTTAATGGATTTGGGGTTTTCAAGCATTAACATTCAGAGAAATTAAATGCAATAAACAGTACTTCCACATGTTAAAGCAACCAAATTTTGAAATCATCAGTTGGTATAAAAGAATTTAAAGATGACTAACATATAAATGTCTTTCAACTTCAGGTGCAGGGCTTCACACAGTTCTGGCCAGGTCTAGGGATCCTTCCCTCACACATCAATCACCTTAAGAAAAATAATCAGTAGCATACCCTGAAGTTTACAGCAAAGACTGAAAACTCAGATACTAAATTGGCAATTAATGACTAAATAAAAGAAAATTAACTTAATATTTTGAATATCTGGCATTTGGCAAAATAAATGCTGAAAAGATGGTTATTATTTTCTTAATAGAATTCTAAAAGATAAGAAATGAATTGATGTTCAATGTATGTATCTATTCTTATAAGAGTTAAATAAAAATACTACATTTTTATTTATTCAAGATAACTTCTTTATTTTTAAATGATGAAATTATTTTAATGGATTTCTATTTGAATTGATCTTTCCTTCTTTATGCAAGACAATGTATGAGAAATGTAATAATGCCACTGATTCTTTATTGTCCATCCCCACTTTTTAGTGTTCAACAGCTTGTTCTTTATCCTTTTTTGAACAGGAATCTTGAATAACTTTAATTCATTCTTTGGACAATAAATTAGATTTGTAACTGGCTAGAGCTTCAAAGAAACTTTTCTATCTGTATATATGCATACAATGTTAAGAGATATGAATTTGATTACAAGAGTTAACAGTCACCAATGAGAATACAGCAAGAAAGTTTAAAATGTTAGCAGAAATGTCCATCTCTAAAAATGGCCCTCATTCAGCAATAAGAAAACCATTAATGCAAGATATTCAAGAAAAGGAAACATGTTAAATAACATCCTGTTTATAATCAGAATTTGATTAAAAATTCATTTTTATGGAACATAAAATTTTACAGCTGTTTACTTTTCTGTTATATAATATTCATAAAAATATTCAGCCTTCATTTCCTTAAAATGTGAAAATTGGTTTTATTTATAAGACAATTTAATTTTCCACCATGCAGATCTTGAAAAACCCAAACATTTTCTGCTACATAAATTAATAACTAAAAAATAAAACACTACTCTTATACCAGTAGATTAAACTGAGATTTTTGCCAGTATTCTAAGACTCTAAAAACAAACATTTATTTGCTTTGCTATTTAATATAGCACAACTGGAAGAAATTATATTTCACTGTTTATTCATTTTTTTACAGTACTGAGAATTAAAGGGAAAATTCTCTAATTGAAAGGATGTTGTTTCTGTATACTCAAGAACAGGAAGTTATGTTAACCCTTTGATCTCCTTTGACATTCAATTTATTTAATTGCTGGTATCTTTGTTGGCCTTTATGAAATAAAAAAAACAAATATTCAATGTTTGTTACTCACTTATATATAAGTCATAATCAAATGCAGTATGACTATTTTCTCAGATTACATCAACATAATCATCTTGATATAGACAGAAAGCTCAACATAAGCTTCATTACATCAACAGTATAATACAATATTTTATCAAAAATATGGAACACATTTTACTTGCATTTTTTCTTTTAATTAAATATGATTAATATTTTAAAAATGTTTTATAAATATCACTTCACTTTTTCTTCTTTCCTCTCTTCTATTTAACTGCCTCCAAAATTTAAATTATGTCAGTAGCATCATATTACAAAGATAAAAAATATCCCTAGTAAAGTTGATAAAATGATACATCTTTTATTGAGTGGTGAAAAACATCTAGTACTTTTACATTAACTTGATTAAACAACATATTTACTACTTTGTTCCACTATTTTCTATCATCTTTGAAGTAACTTCATAATTCCATTATCTTAGAACTTTTTATCTTTCTCAGCAAAAAGACTTTTGCAGAATTCCAAGGATCTGAAAATCTTTTAAGAATCAAGAATAAATGGTAATCCAAAAGTAAACTATCAGCATAGAGATGTGTCAAAACCAACACTTTCTGCTTTCTTTATCAAAGAAACATATAGTCTAACAGTAACATGATGGAAATTATGTCTTTCTTCTTAACTGTTTCCAAACACTTTTCATCATTTGCTGCCTTCAACTGATCTAATTAGAAGCAATATTTGTTCAAATCAATTGTTTGCTTCTTTAGAAGGAACTCATAATAGAGAACTCTTTTCCAGTCCCACCATACACCAAACATCATTTCCTTTAAAAACCAATTTCTAGTAAAATTAGTGATGGTTCATTTTACTTGAACTATGACCTCATGAATTCTATAAAAAAAAATCCACTTTTCAGTGCTTGTCACAATCTGTTTTGAAAACAGAATATGTTTAAGTATCAAACCACACATCAAAACAAACAAAAAAAAGAAATGAGTTTCTTTTTTTGCACTTTAATATTGATTATTCTCAAGTAATATCTTATTTCACTATCAATCTCAACTGATCTATAAAACCATGGAGCATAACTCAGTAAAAAATCTCCAGTATGAAAACTTGACACATTACATGATTCACAGTACCTTTTTGTTAAAACTGCACAAATATTTTTGTTGCATTTTGGGTTACATTTATTTTTTTAAATTGCATAAGATGAAAATGTAGTTATGTTTATCAATCTTCAATGTCAGAATCAATAAATGAAAATAAACCAATTTTGACAATTTATAAAAAAAAAAAGTGCACTCTGATATGCCAATTGTCACAATGCAATCAAAATTAATCTTTTTTTAATAAAAATAGTTAAAACTAAATGCTTCTAATGCAATCTAGTAACAAAAAATAAAAATTTCAAAATGAAAACAACAAAACAAGGAAATATACTAAAAGTGAATTTATAAAAAGAAGGAAAAATATTTTTCAGTAATAAATTTTTTAACTAACCACAACAAAAAACTGGAACAAACACACCAGCTGGGATTGGCAATGTATTAGCTACAGCTCCCATCCAAAACTGAAACAGAAAACATTTAATTTTTTTAAATTGATTTTTGTTTATTTTTCCTACTAAAAATGTTTATTCTTTTATTTTTTACACAATATTTTACTAACAACTGCTTTTTTATACATATTCACAGTACAAGTATTTTGAATCAAGACTGCTTAGTTTTATTATCATTATTGTTGTCATTTTTGGATTGCTTTATCAATAAAAAAAAAAAAATTGATGTCCATTTGATTAAAAAACTTAAGAGCTTTGGTACTGAAATTTAGCAAAACAGCAGATATCTATACTGCATAAACATTGAAGATTCCTATTTACTATTGAGTTCCAGACTCAATAGTAAATTTTGTCACGATCTCGAAGATGACAACAAAGGTAGTTTTTCCTCAAAAATTTAATTTACTGCTATTAATCAAATTATTTTATAGGAAACCAGATAAAACCTGCACTCACAATTGAAAATTTGAGTGGACATAGTAGATGAACTCTATGGTATCAGCTTTAAGATCAGTTTTAAATCTACAACAAATTGATGGGTAATTTTTATTCCTTTAAAAAAATCCAACTTGTATTTCCACTGCCTACATTGAAAGTACACCAATAAAATGATGACTAAAGCTAAAATTGGTAAATTTTAAAATGAAAACAAATTGTATTTTGTATCACCCAATCAATATATCCCATTATAAATAAGCAATTTACATACATCATACATATAATACATTATTTTAATGCAGTAACCAACAAAAATAAAATAACGCTCTGTAAATGACATTTACTTTCCTGTTGATAACCTTCTAGAAAATCTTTCCAAAATATATTTTTATCTCTTTGTATTTATTATATACTTTCTTTTAATAAGAGTGATAGGAGCTAATTTTAATGAACAAAGAACTGAATAAACTACAAAATAGTAACAACATCAGCTCAACTTCCTGATCTGTAAGTAAAAGTATGCTAATAAGATACTTTCATTATATATATGCTCTAAAACTGTATAACAGAAAATATTTCAAGGACAAGAACACAGATTCATTGAACAACATTTTTAGCTTAAATTATAGTTATTTAATGTTAAAATATACACACACAAACACATTAAAATTTTATTTATTGAATAAATAATAATATTAAAAACATGTTTTTCCCCCAAATATCACAATGAAAATTCAATTAGAAATGTATTTCTAATGAGGATGTGTAGGGCTTAGACTAATCTCTTATCCCTACACAATTACCATTTCAACATGTCTTGTCAAGATTAATTTTTCATTAACATTTCCTAAATGCTCTAAGAAGGTGAATACAAACTTGTTGCTTTTCTCCCATTCAGTAGACATTCTAGAAAGAGAATGAATCTAAGCTGACTGTTTTTTATAATCATAAAGTCAGAAGCAATTTATCTTTCAAAACAACAACAAATGAATCACTTCTACTCCAGTTTCTATAGAGTTGAAAGATAAAGTTGTCACTCAAAATCCTCCAAACCAAAAGTAAAAAGATACCTAAAAGTCTGTCTGAAAAAGAAGAATTAAACATATTTAAAATAAATTTAAGAGATGAAAAGCCAAACATTTAATTTTTCCCTTGATAAGAATCTGAAGAAATATTGATAGATATAGCAGAAAAAATTATTTTATTAATAAAATATTAAACATTCACTTTAGCATATTTTTAAATGAATTGATTTTTTTTTTGATGAAGCAATAAAATGTATAGAGATTTTGTTCATTTTTGTTATTAGATATCATTTTATAAGTTTCAAATCTTTTCTGATAATACTTTTCTCTACTAAATCTAATTCACTATTTCCAAAACTCATTCAAAAATCATAGGTGATTTGTAAATCAAGTTTTGTTGACATTTATTAAGAAACCATTTGGTAAAAGTAAATATACACACACTTCATTATAATTATCTATATTAGATCAATGTTTCCATCAGAAGATTACTTACAGTCATAATTATATACAAGAGTAAAGTGACATAAATATTGGTGGCAGGTGGATTCCAATGATGTAAAATTTCTTCTTCTTCTAAGTCATCAGCTTGGCCAGCTGTCCATGTGATGTTACTGAAAAGTTCATTGATAGCTTGACGTGCAGTAAGCTACCAAAATAAAAAAGCTGATTTTAGTGTGAGAGAATTTAATTAAAAACCAAATGCTCAAACTTTGCATCTTGGTTTTCAAGTGTGTTAAACAGAAGTAAATTATTTAAGGAAAACTTATGGAATCCTTTTACAAAACTAATACCTCGTACATATTTTTTCAAAAATTCAGAAATTAAAGATATGAAAAATATTACTAAGACAATATGCTTAAGGTGACAATAAAAATCAAGGAAATAAATTATGTTTGAGGGATAAAACTTGCAGTAGTAGATATCACTGGAATTTAAACACAAGATTAACCATGATTTGACCAGTAAAATCTGATACTATGAGATGAAGACTTTCCCCCATCTTTTCCATGAATTCTGACAAGTTGATGAATGGACCTGCACCCAAAAAAACAGGTCATCTGCATTTGTTAAGAAATTGTTTTTGCAAAATTATGCTGAATTTGAGTAAAGTCAAATTCATGAGAAAATAATCCTATACAAATAGGGTTAAGTTAGACAGACATTGACATTCTAAACTTGATTAAGGAAGGAGAGTGTTATTAATTTTGAGATGTGTCATTAATATTCCAAAATTTATTTAGATAACTGAACTAATTCTTTGTATTGCTACTGAAACATTCTTGTGATCCATTTTACAGCATTCTTCAAATGTATTATTCATAAATAAAGAGAGAATTTGTTTTTGTTTTTTACAGAACAAGATGATAAACAAATTGATTAACCTTATGAATCCATACAAATGGTTTAGCAGTACAATCCTCCAGCAGTCTCTAATAATAAAAAACCTGAGATGTAATTAATATAAGGTTATTTTTATGATCATCTTTGTACTAGCCACTTGCTAATCTTCTGATTTGATCTGCTATAAAGGTATTTCTTAAATAGTGAAATTTATCTAAAATGTCCAAGTGTTGAGGTTTCAAAGTTCAACAGATTATGGAAGTCAAAACATTTCCTAGCTGGAGTTAGTTGGAAAGTGATAATAAAATTGGAAATATCAAATATTATTTACTTTTGCCAGCACATGGCAGTGTCTCAGAAAGAATCAAGATGCTTTAGGTAAACTTAGATAAGGCCAAGATGTTAAAAAAACAATCTAATCATTCATTATTTAATTCCAGATTTTCCAAAGAAAGGCAGATTCCATATTCCCAGAGCAGGTGTAGCTATGATTAACTGCATTCATTCACAATATATTTGAAACAACAAAGTCGACTGATTAGATAAGGCTGAACATTCTTGAAGAACATTCAATCTAGATGCAGTTAAGACATACACACATTCAGTAGACTGCCATTGGGTTCTGTGCATGTGCGTGTGTGTGGGAGGGGGGGTTGCATCTGCCAGTCTTGAGAGACCATGGTGCTCAAAAGGTTATTCCTCAGCTGCTGATCATCTGTTATAGCTGTACAGGTCCACATAGGAGTGACAGTCTTGATTGCATTGAATGCATGTGAAAATGCTCTCCCCCAATATTGCTGTGTTGTTTTTTTTTTTTCCTTCGAGCACACTTCACCCCAGAAGCAAGCCTCTGTATCTTCTCTCTTTGCTCCAGCCCTTGGTGTAAATCACATTGTTGGTGATGTCTTCCCACCTCTCAATTTCCATGTCCATTGCCCTCATGCCACTTCTGTAGATGCCCTTGAAGCAAAGATGCCCTCTTACCAGTTACCCATAGAAAAGGACATTTGGAATCCCCCATCAGTAGACTGTTGGGTTAAACGAAGTATAAAGTGCTTAAGTCTGGTGGTGTAGGTCATTCCATGCAGTACCACTCCCATAGAAGTAAGCTAGAGTTAAACACTGGCACTTGAGATGCCACCAAAGAGGAAATAATCTCATGCAAATGTTGAACTCCCACTTTAAACTTGTCTTTGTGCCACATTATATACAAGTAAATATTAAAATAAATATCTATATAACATTCAGTTTGACTTGAAGCATCAAAACATTGAACAATCTATTCTAACTATAGCTAACCCTTCGATTGATCTCCATTATATCATACCAATGTAAAGCAATGCTATTCACAAAGTCATTTGGAAAATACAGTATCTTTCAACTAAAGAATAGTATTTCTTTCATACTCACTCTAGATGGGAATATCTTATTACTGGAAAAATAATAAAAACAATTAAAAGTTTCTCTTCTACAACAGACATTTGATACTTCTTCAGCTTTTGAGACCATAAAATAGATTATCATGCATTTCTTTTTCAAGTTACAATAGCCACAATTGTTCAAATTAATGTCACATAAAATCCAGTAAAATGTAGTGAATGGACCTTCTTCAACAATTAGCCTAATACTATCAGGAATATTGTCAACAATAATGAAAATAATATTGATAAATGACATGCACTGGCTTTACCATTGAATTTTAAATTATTATATAATTTATACATCACAAAATCAATATTTTTTTTAATTTCCAGCATATAACTTAATACATTACAGTGTTGTTATTAGTGATATTATATGGGTTGTGGAACTAATTTCAACTCAGAACTAAGCTAGGGCTAGGGTAGGTACCTCCACGAAATCGCTAAAAAAAGAGCATAGCTTGATGAAAAAGACGTCAAACTTGCCGAAAACTAAATTTTATTGTCTAAATGCTTATGTTATTATTAAAAGGAAAGACCAAAGTTTTTTTTTTTAATTATTTTTAAAAATTTTCCTTCTTTTAGAACATTCTAAATTTTGATTAAAAAAACCTTTTTCTATTTGTATCAGCGAACTAGTAAATAACAGACAATTTTTAGCACGTTTTTTTGGTATGACACACATTAATTTGAAAAATCGTGCAAAAAATAGAAATAATTATCGGATGTTAATAAAACTTTCAGGAACTATTCACAGATGATCGAAATTATTATAAATGTTTTTTTATGAAAGTCATGGTAGAAATATTTTTAAAAATATTTATTACCCCCCCCCTAACTAATTTTATGAAAATGCTAGAAATTGATCACATCGGTTTTAGTGATTACAATAATTAAAAGCACAGGGCTTTGAGGAATGCAAATCATGTTTTTTTTGTTTTAATTGATACGCAGTACCTGAAAATCAGCTCTGAATTGTAAATATACAAAACTCAATAAAACAAAGATATTATTTAATTTCAAATGCTTTTATTTGCTTTTAGTTGTTTTTATGAATATGGACAATATTTTCTGAAAGCAAAAAAAATTTTTCGATGAAAAATGAATTTTTAATACAATTATTTGTTATTTCATTAATTATAATAGATTTTACATTTAAGTTGTTAAATATTATAAAATTAGTTAAAAGCTGCATCGGCTTTCATAAGTGTCCTTATGAGATAGATCTTTTTTAGCGTTGTAAATTGTATCATTTTGACTAATCAGAAGATACCCAGTAATTAAGAAATGTAATTTTGTGCTTATAATCAAGCTGTAATTATAAAAATACGGAAGACCAACCAGAATATAATTAAGTTGGCGCTATTTGAGTTAAGCATTGTTCTCCGCTGTTAAGGCCTTTTACTTTTTTGCTAAACACGTGTGGAGAAGTTAATTTGATTTTTCAATTTCAACTGAGAAGGGTACCTACAAGTATCAGTATCATCTTATGAAATTTATATGATCTTATTTTTATATTAATCTCAGTTACGACATTTTTCCATAAATGAAATATCAAAATTAATAATAAAAATGAATGCAAATACAAATAACAGTAGAATGTAATAAATGTACATAAAATTATAGTATTTTATGTACAATTCTGATAAAATTTCAAAGAAAGGTACCTATAAATTAATTAGATACCTTTCTTAAGAAATATGAAATTTAATGTCACTCTTTAACAGTTTTATTTTAATTTCTTTACAATATATTTCCCATAAAGCATCATAAACGTAAAGGTGAAAGCTAAGTACAAAAAAAAAAAAAAAAAAATTAGACCGCTGAAAGTTTTACGTTAAAAATAACGGGGTAAATAATTTGTTCACGTAAATGTAAATTATTTCACTTTTCTCCTTCTGTAGAACAAATTAGCCTCATGGCGTAAAATATATCATTCATCACATGTCAAGAGACGCGAAAAGTTTATGACCTGCTTTGTTTTATTTTCAAATTACATCTTTTGGCACAAAAAGCTAAGTTAAGTTTGGTTCAAAATATTTTAAATAAACATTATAATTTCTGATTTTCTTAAAATAAGTTTTGAAAAATGATAATTGATATTTAAAAAAATTTCAAAGTCAGATTTCCATTTTTTTTTAAATGGAAAAAAATGGTCAATTTTGCTGACTCAAAAAACTAGATTTTTAACGAAAATTTCGGACATGCTAGGAACGATTAAAAAATGGAAAAAAATACCCCAAAAATACTTTGACCTTTCCTCTTAATAATAACAAACATTTAGACGATAAAATTTTGTTTTCGTCAAGTTTGGCGTCTTTTTCATCATGCTATGCTCTTTTTTTAGCGATCTCGTGGAGGTACCTAGGCTAGGGTTTTTAAATAGAGTTGAAATTAGTTCTGAGTTGAAATTTGTTCTTTCACTCTGTTATAGTATGAAGTGATATTATATTACAGTATGTTTAGTTTTAAAAAATACATGCTAATATAAAACAGATACAAGGATTTTTTGTACATATGTCACTAACTCAGAAAGTTACAGATTTGAAACAAAGCATAGAAAAATTTCTTTTTAAAGATAATTTTAGTGAGATCCAATTAAAACACTTCATTTTCAGTTTCATCATCAGTCAACCAATTAAATTTTAAATTGTATCATCTGACAAAATTTCATGTGAAGGCATCCATTTTGTTTGAAGAGACACCCTAGTGTCTTATCAGAGGGATAAAACTGCCATTCTAAGATAATATTCTTTTATTGTTAGTATTTAAAAAAAAGAAACATGACTGAAAAATCTTTGTTTTCAAGTTCAAAACTAATAAATTTTACCAAAGATACAAATTATTTCTTTTTATACTCTTCACATTATTAAAATCTCAGAACAGGGCTGAAAATTTATTGGTGTGACCCACTTTCCAAATTCTGAGTAAATGGCCAAATACTAGAATATTTTTTATATATATATTTTGGAAGGACTTCTTGATTCTGGGAACTTTTCAGCACCTCCTCACTACAACTTAAAATTTTTCATATAAATATAAATTACTTAAAATAAATTACTGACTACTTTTATAAAATTAAAACCAGAGTTATATTCTTTCAAACACAGAAATCAAAAACCAAATTGAACCATATCTTAAAATCATTAATAAAATTTAAAGACCTGAAAAGTTGCTTTCCCAACAAAAAAATCTGTCTAATTTTTACAGAGTAATTTGAGAAGAGTCACATATTTATTTAAAGAGTTTAGTCTATACTGTCAAACTTGCTCCCCCCAAAAATGCTTTTAAAATCTTAAGCATCTGTTTAAGATGGATATTACACAAGGGAGTAAACCTAAACTCTTCCCAATTTTATAGCAACTTACAAGAGTTTTAGTTGAGAGATTACAAGTACTAAACTTTCCAAAATAGGAAATAACTTTAATATAAATGAAAGCTTTTTCTCATGCTTTTTCTTTCTTGTACAATTTTAATGTTTCCCAAATGACTAAGTAAAAATTGTTAGAAATAGTAAAGAGAACAAAAGCAAAATGATATACCTGACCAGCAAAAAACTGTCCAAGCCCAGGAGGGAAAGTTAATGTAGAGATCAATATGGCTATCATACCAGGATAGAGGAATCGACTGTCAGAAGCAGAAAAAACAAATTCAGGTGAAAAGAAAAGAGTCATTCATATATGATTGCTTATAAATGGAATGAACACTAAGAATAAATTTAGCTTGATATTATTATCATCATCATCAATATCCTACAATAATAGAAAAATGTAATATTTGCAAATTCATTTCATTTAAATCTGTAGTGATCCTAGCTGAGTAAAAGTGATAAAAATTTGCTTATATGTGTAAATCACTGAAGTAAATAAGAGTTTGCAATTTTGGTTATTTTTTTTTAAATAAGCTAATAATTGTCTGTGTACAAAGTTAGATAATCAACCATACCAGTGTTTTTAAACAAAACCATTTTTTTTTTACATAAATTAGCTGGATATACAGAAAAAATTAAAAGCACACATTAAAAACATTCATTCAAAATTTCGAATATCAACAACAGATAAATATCACTCATGAGATTTTCTTAAATCCATATTTTTGATTGAAGTTGGTAATATTTCATGTATTAACATATACAACCCCTGGCAAAAATTATGGAATTCACACACTTACAGGATGTTCACTTTGGTTTTTTATTTAGCAGTAAATAAACTAATAACAGATATATAAACATTTTTTTTTATTTAATAACTGAATATTCTGGCTTCATAAAATATATATTAAACAAACTATATTAAATCATTTAAATTAATGGTATAATTTTTTCAAAACCATGTAGAGGAAAATATTATGGAATGACCCAATGTTGAGGAAAAATTATAGAATTTGCATTCCTAAAACAAAAACCAGCATAAGCCTAATATTTAAATTGGTCTACAGTTATGAGAGTTCTTGCAGACCTCAACAAGTGGTTAGGCATACCTAACAGAAAAGAAACATGGATCCAATATAAGAATTGTCAATTGAAACAATGGAAAGATCATAAAATTAATTCAAGAAAGTAACCCACAATGGAGTGAAATGAAAGATGTTGGTATTCCCAGTCAGTGGTGTGTAAAATTTGGTGCAAACATAAAAGAAAATGGATGGTTAAAAAAGAAAAGCATAATGGTAGACCACAAAAGACCTCACAGAGTCAGGATAGAAAACCCAAAACACTACACCTTGAAAATAGAAAAATGTACAACAAATGAGGCAGAAATGGATTGAAACAGGTGTCAATGTTTGTGATAGAACTGTAAGAAAACAGTTAAATGAAATATGATTTAAATAGAAAAAAAAAACAGCCAACCAGAAAGAAATGAGGTTAAAAGGTGCTAAAGAGAAACTATCATGGCATACAGATGATTTGATGAAAGTGATATTCATAGATGAATCAAGAATTTGCATTGGCCAAGGTGATGATGCTGGAACTTTTGTTTAGTGTCATTCAAATGAAATATATAATGATGACTGTCTAAAGAAAACAAGTAAACTTCTCAAGGACATGGAGGTTTCATGTCATTTAAAAGACCAAGGGAGATGACTATCATCACGTCAACAATCAATGCACATATGTACATTAAAATTCTGGATAATTTTCTCATTCCTTCAGTAAAAAATTGGTCTAGTGATGATGAAGTCATTTTGCAGAATGCTAATGTGTCTTGTCGCAGAGCAAAGGGGATCAAAACTTTTCTTCAGAAAAGTCAGATAAAAATTAATGACACAGCTAGCTGAAAATTTATAGTGCAAATTAAAAAAATGGTCTATGAGAAGACTCCATACACCAAAGACGATATATTAACTGCCATTTTGGAAAGTTGGAACTACTTTGATAAAGAATATTGCTTTAAACTAATGAAATCTATTCATGAAAAAATTAAGGATGTCATAAAAGATTAAGGAGGGACAACTAAGTATCCATTCTAATTTTATTTTTTTAATTGTATAATTTTTTTTCAACATTGGGTTATTCCTCTACTGTGCTTGGAAAAACATATATCATTAATTTAAATAATTTAATCTAGTTTGTTTAAGGTAAATTTCATGAAGTCAGCATGTTTAGTTATTAAATAAAAAGTGTTTTATGTTTAATCTGTGATTAGTTTATTTACTGCTAAGTAAAAAACAAAAAGAAACAAAGTGAACATCCTCTAAGTTTGCTCATTCCATAATTTTTGCCATGTACCTGTAGTACAATAAACCCTCAATCTAGTGAACCTTATCAAGGCTAAAATGAATATTCAGTTTTACTTTTGTGTATTAGTCATTAAAAAATACTATAAATTTACTTTTGTTTTTATTTTATAATAACTGATACTTTTAATTATGCATAAAATAAACTTTATTTATGAGAAAATCTATAAGATTTTAAATCACTGTAAAAAAACAAAATTATGAAACTGAACTTCACTGTCAAAAAACCTGAGTAAATATTACATATTCTTTACTAAAACTTAACACTTTTATATTGTACAGTACTATATATTGTCTTAAAGATATTTTTTTACATTTAAAAAGATAAAAATTGGCTTTCAAAATTTACAGGTAACAAACAGGCACACTTTCTTCTGTTAAATCAAGAGTTTACTATATTATTTAAAACTAAAATGCATATCATGAAAACGTTTGACATGATTCACTAAAATATGTGATATTTTTGCTGGTACTAAAAATATTTTATGTCTATGGTCAACTGACTAGACTTCAATAACAGAAATCCATATAATTAGTGAAATCAAACTTTTATTAATATTGGGTACAATATTACAAGCAGTAATGCATTAAAATGGAAAATGTGTACTTGTTAATGCTAAAACCTCTCCATGGATGACTGATTTAGGTTCAATTTCTTTCTAAATACATAAATCTGAGCTTTAATTCACTAAGTTTTTTGTTAAATTTGCACAAATTTCATGTTAGAAAAATGATCTAAGGGGAGTAATTTCAAACAAAGTTATTCTCCTTGCCTTGTTTTTAAATACATATTCTAGAAAATTTTAGATGTCTCATTTTTCATAAAATATATTTAAAATACTGAAAATCATTTGAAAACTGTTTCTTGAAAAAGTAAATACTGTTAAATTCTCTTTTTAAATACACATATATTCTTTTAATTTCTTTTGAGTATTATTCATTGCAGTTTATATATTAGGAAGCTTCTTTTTATTATTTCATTTTTCTTAACTATATTAATCTATTTTTTTCTTGCTTTATCTGGAGTGGACATTGTAAAATAATAGAATCTGAGACAATTTTTAAGGCTTTCTACTATGATCTTTGAAAAGAGGAAAACTTATAAATTAAAATCTGACAAATGACTTTTTTAAATGCTAAATTCAATATATAATTAATTTAAAAAAGCAACAAGTAAATATGAGATTTCTTACTTTTTCTGAAGAAATGCTGACATCCGCTTGTGTTTTCTTGTGAAAAGGATGATCCTTCTATGAAGGAAAATGAAAAGGGATCCACCAAAGCCACAGGCAACACTGGAAGTAAACAAAAATAAATCTTTTACCATTTTGAAAAATATATATAAACAGCCAAAATTCATATAAATAGTGACTGTTACATTTATAGATTTTGTTCTCATTTTACTGTTGGTCAAGATGAAAGCAACAATCTTAGACATTTCAAGTTCTAGATAATATTATTGATAATATGAGATCATGATGTATGCTATCTCAAGCTAAAACTCTTTAATTGCTTTATCTTAAGGGCCAGTTTCTATTTCTAAGGAAATTAAAGTTAATATATATAAAATATCAGGTATCAAGGACAATAATATATATATCAACACATATAAGATTTAAAAACGTTTTCAGCTCAACCCACTTCCCAAAATCTTAGCAAATGATCAGAATTTTAATGGGATCATTCCTTCTTGGTCAGGCCAAGAGTTTATGTATATGTGTAGTATAGCTCATTTTTACTATACTGCATTACTTTTTTAATCCCTTGAACTGCCTGTGGCATGTCCTAGTGTTATATATATATATATATATATATATATGTATAATCTATTATGCTGTTAACATACTATGCTTGACTGAAGTACCATTTCTCAAGGCAACAGAGATTACTTTGTCAATGCTGTGCAAGTAAGATGCAACATGATCAACATCAAAGCCACTGTTTATGACATAACAATAATTTTTTAAAGTGTTAAATACATACCCTATGCCAGCAAATATTATTAATTCCAAAGCATCAAATGGGACTTCAGTTCTGAGTGTTGTCCTAAAAAGTGCAGTTATTGTTTCTGATAGTAAAAGAAAAAGAAATAACAAAAATTATTTCTTTACAAAATTGAGCAAGTCATTATTTAGACATTTTTTACTTTTGTTATATAGACAAAATTTGCTCTCTACATGAAAACAATTATTTAGCATTTTCTACAATCTACTTAAAAATTGATAATGAAGTGCTTCATTTTAAGCAAAAGCTGCTACATTCAAAATTGTTGCCACTTAGTTCAAGTTGACATTAAAACATTTTTGAAATTATAAAATACAAAGCAGTTCTATAAAATTTGTTATCTATATACATAAAACAGAGGATATCTGTCTGGCTGCATGATACCTTTTGACTCGAGATCCATCCAACTGTTTTTGACCAAATTTGGCATAAACATTGTACAATGTAAGAGATAGGTTCTTAGTATAAAAAACTGATAAGTTTTAAAAAATTCAATAATCGATAAAGCCGATCAAAAATTGATAAATTCAACTTTTTTCCTCTGATTTCAATCAAACTCGGTATATAGGTTACTTACATGACACGCTCAACGATACCTCATTTTTATTTCTACACCACTATGTTTAGCAAAAAAATGCAAAAACTGAAAAATCAATTTCAACACAAATTTTAAACTAAAAACTCCCTCAATTTTCAAGCAATCAAATACAAACTTCACTCAGTTTAACCATATAGTGAAACCATATAGTGAAAACCTGTATAAATTGCGAAAAATGGTGATTTTACTGGTTTCTTTCTTATGTTTTATTGGTCTTTCAACCAATTTTCATCAAACTTAACAATTGCTTTATAAATGTATCCTCTTTTACATCACTGGTAGCACACTGACAAATTGAATTTCAAAAACTCCAAAATAATTGTGGTCTGAAGTGGGTCTTCATGTCGCCTGTTTTACCCCTTCATGTCCTCGGCTAAATTTGATTGAATAAATAGAGACTACTTCTGTTATATCAATAACTGCAATAATTCAAAATGTTTTTTTAATGAAAGTACTTTAAAACAATTGAAGAAGATAGACTCTGTTACATCTAAAAATGATGCTGTTTTTGCTCCATTCTAATTGAACGCTTTTCCCATTGACCAGATGGGTATGGCTGCTAGTTGTTCATAAAATTTATACAACTGAGTACTTCATGATTCAGTGTCTTTATTTTTGTAAAATGAACATCTGTGAATCCAAAGTACTGAGATTGAATATTTCTTATTATTGTGAATTTTTCTATTATCTTCATTTTAGTTTTGATTGATACACTTTTTAACCTTTTAAGTTTATTTCTGTGTCCAGTCCTTACAATTTGCTTTGTATTTATTTTTCTTCTGTCTAAATTCTAGAAATCAAATGCGAGATAGATATTAGGAACGTCAAAGAATGTATCAGTCAAAGTGGTATATCAAAAGTAAAAATAATTAGCCAAAAAGTATATAAAATAATGAATATCTGAATTATATTAGTTACATAAGGTTTTAAGAAGATATCGTATTTAGAAGTTCTCCACAATTCTACAAAACTCAATGAGATGGTTTACTTGGAACTCATTTAAATGTGCTAGTAAAAAAAAAAAAATTAATTTTTTTTCTACCTACCTTCATCTTTAAACCAAAATGCTAACAACCGGAATATAAGAGCACCACACACAGCAGAAAAGAAACCTCTCCAATAATTTCTTACAGCAAAAAAAGTAGCTGTTACTTCAATACTAAATAAAACACCTGGAATATATATAAAAATTTGTTTAAAAAAAAAAATCTGTGATAAAAAAATAAAACAAGATAAATTGAAAAAATTTTTTTAAAAATAAAAAAGTATTAAAAAATTTTAATAATAAAAAATATTTTACTAATATTTTAAATTAGCAAAAAGCAAAATTTAAAAAATAATAAAATCAAATTTAAAACAATAAAAATCAATTTTACTGCAATTTTTATTTATTTATTTCTTATTTTTTATTCCATTTATACATTTTGACAATGTGATAACAAGCAATATACCCATAATACTTAAGAAACTTATGAGAAATGGCCAGTGAAAAATTATGATTAAGTAAGTCTGTTCAACTTAGCAGTTTCATAAGTATATTATTTCATGTGATATTTACATTTTTTTAATCAAGTTCATCCCAAGCAAGGCAGTAAAGCCACTAAAACACAAGGGGGTTACTGGATGTGGAAGAATTAGAAAACAGAAACATTACTAAGGAGTGACTACAGAAGGTAATAAGAACTGCAGATAGTGATTGGCATTTAAATTTTTAAAAATTAAATTTGGCTGAAAAGCAGGGAGCCAGAAAGAAGTTCCACAAGCAAGAAGTGTGAGAAAAGAAACTGTTAGCATAGAACTTGCAGTTACATCTAGCCAACTCAATTGTATGTTGATGGGACCTCATCACCTGTACTGCACTTAAATTCATATAGTTGAGGTACCATAATGAAGTGCTCATCCGAACAATTATGAAGAAAGTATTTATAGAAAAAGCACAGAGAGGCAACTTTACTGCAGGGGAAAAGTGACTGAAGCTGAGAAGCAAGATCAGATTCAATATTACTGATTCTTCTTTAGATTTTATCAACTCTCTAGATATATAACAGGTGCACTAGACCATATGTGGTAACAATATTCTAAGCCTGGACTTATAGATATGCAAGATAGACAATTTTTCTCTCTAGAATCTAACACAACACAGTGAACCAACTTTCTTAGCAACTGACCTAGCAATGGATTCAGTATAATCTTTCCATAACATGTCAGCCAAGAACATTAGCCCAAGAAAATGCAATAAGTTACTCTTCTGGAGGTTAGTATCAGACATACTGATGAAAGGCACAAAGACGTCTCTTAGTGGGCTGAGTTTCTCAATGTGGGCCATATTGTCCCCTCAGGGACAATGAGATATTTCCAGGGGCCACAAAGCCAAATTTAAAAAATAGGGGACCATGAGGGAGCACAGAAAATTTAGGACCCACAAAATATATATATGGAGTATTTTGTAATTGAAAATTATTATTTAAAATAAAATATTAAATTTATTATTAAGTTAATCTAAGCTATTTTCTTAACAAATATTTATTTATTGTAATTTTTTTATTTAATCTATGCAAAATGGCAGTTTTTAGTCTTCAATTTCTTAAAATTTAAAACTCATAATTTAAAGTTTAAATTAAGGTATGTTTTCACCAACTTGTCTTTCAATTTTGAAAAGCTAAATATTCTGAACAAAGAGCTCTGAAGAAATGGCTCCACCCTGTTTTCCTGCAAGGAGGAAATTAATGCATTTAACAGGAAACTAAAGCTGTTCTGGTTAAACCTTTGGAGATGGGAATTTGCACAGTTTCCTTCTTTAGCAAATATATTCACTGAGCTGATTGATGATGACCTAGCAGTGTATGTTGATCATTTGAAGCAGTTGCATAATGATATTAAAACTCGCTTCTCTGCACAACTCCAAATGACAATGCCGCACTGGTTCCCTTCATTGTTGATGCATCTGAAGTTGATATCACCCTACAAGAAAGTTTCATTGAACTTCAAAATAATACAGCAGCTTAAGTGAGGTTCAAGTGTGGAGGATATCAGAAGCTGTGGATGAATGAAGACATGTATAAGAATTACCCACTACTCTGGAAAGATGTGAAGTTGCTCATACTTGCTTTTCACTTACTTGATTGAGTCTGGTTTCAGTCAAATGATGCATCTGCTATCAAAGACTCAAAATTGCCTTGGCATAGAAAAAAAGAGGCAATATACATTTCTCTCTGACAGATTTCAAGCCAAACATTGACAATATGGCAGCCCTGCACCAGTCACAGGAATCCAATTGAAACCATATAAGATAGAGTTGATGGTCCATGTATTTTTTGTTTTGTAAATCAATGATTTTATTCAAATAAAATATTCATCCAAATAATATTTTTCTTTGATTTACAACTGGAGTTAGTGTTTTGATGCCATAGTACTTATAACTTTCATTTCATAATTTGACAAGAAAAACTGGATCAATTGAAGCATTTGTCCAGAGACACTGTAACTTTTCAATTTGTGAAGGAGACCTGTATGCCAAACCCTACTGAAAGCTTTTGAGATGTCCAAATCTACAAATTGAGCTTCACCTTTCTTATGTAGGGCTTAAACTCTTTCTGCAATTATCATCAATACATCAGCAGTTGACCTAGAGAAATGAAAGCTGTATTGTTTGTCTGAAAAATGGCCCTGTGATGTGAGATGCTTAATATTCAATATTGATTAGGGCCTCTAGTAGTTTCCCAAAAAGAGGTAGAAGGCTAATAGGCCAATAGTTGGAAGGATTGGCTGGTTCACTTGAGTTCTTAAAAACTGGAACAACAGATGACGATTTCTAACAGGCAGGGAAATAAAAGGCATTTATTATACAGTTTAGAGAGAACAGGAGCCAATTCAGGAACACACTTCTTAAGGACTATTACAAGGACACCATCAGGTCCACATGCTTTGTGGGGATCCAGATTAGAGATGATAGCAAAAACCATAAAAGGAGTTGTATGCATATCACTCAACAGAGACTCAGTTCTAAATGAGAAGGTAGACAAAAAGTACTCCTGATGAGTCAAGAGAATTTCCAGGCAAAAACATTCGGCTTTATTAGCAGATGTTAACACCTCAAATTGATTGAAGAAAGGAGGAATAGAAAACTTACTCTTATTTAATACATTATTACAAAGCTGTCAGTAATTATGAGAGCCAAATTTGTTAGATGCAATACAATGCCTCATTTTCTCAACAAAGAGAGACTTAGCTTCTTTGAGAATATGTTTACATTTATTATGTGCAGTCCCCAATAGGCATTTGTTGTGATGGGAACTTTCATGCCCTTATAGCCAGAAATAGTGGTTCCTGTGGGCTATCGGCCTGAGCATGCTGGTATGAACCATGGAGAAAATTGAGGTTTCACCTGTTTTTTTTTAGAAGAAATGAAACATCCATGCTGGCTTTGACTCAAGAGGAAACCTCAGTGGTGCAGTTCTCAATTTGAAGGTTATAAATGTCAGTCCAAGGGGCATCTCAAAGAAAGTCCTGAAGTGAGTCCCAATCAGCATGCTGGTAATGGAGAATGGTCTTATGAATAGGAGGTTCCTGTTTAATAGATGACTGGAATGAAATATCAATAGATACTACAGAGTAATCTGAGTTTCCAAGAGGACAGTGTTGTGAAGCTTGGCAAGAGTGAAGAGAGGAGGTAAGAAATAAATCAAGTAAAGAAGCTTGTTGCTTGGATTTGCTAGGGAAACAAATAGGGAAATCTATGATTCGAATAAGGGACTGAGCAAATGAAAAATTGAAAGTTTGAATACTGGTAATATTAGTAACATTAAAATGTTTAAGCCACATGCCATTAAGATGTTCACAGATGGATGGAGAAAGTGTTGTTTCTATCCTGTCAAAGATTGTCTAATATACTGCAGTCCTGAGAAGTGGGGGAGCAATAAAGGAAAATGATAGCATTGAAACTGAACATAAAATTTGTTCATTATTTACATTATTCAGACTATTGTCCTCATCTTTGTCACCATATATAAAATTTGTTGTCATGGAATTATGCACTTAATACTAAGATTACATTTCTGAACTTTAATTTGATACAAACTTGAGATGTATTTTATCTTCTGCATATCTCAAAAAATTCATAACATGAAGCTTATTTCTTTATGACCCCTGATATTAAGCTACTTTTGCTACCCATATCACTGATTTAGCAAACTAATGGCTACTGTTATTGAAGATTTTAGAACATTTTCTATTACACTTAATGAAAATAAAAATGTTACTGATACAGTTTACTGTCCAGTCTTTATTCAGCAATTTGAGAAAAACTTCAATATCACTGAAGAATTATTAGATCTGCAGGTTAAAATTTGTGTCAGTGGTAACAGACGATGAGTCTGCCATGTCTTCTGAAAAAGGTGGATTTAGTTGAAAAGTTTAATAATCCTGGCTCATCTGTCTCTGATAACCATTGTATTTTGCACCAAGAGGCACTGTGTTGAGAAAAGATTGCAGAAGAAAAAACATTATGTCCATAGCTGTTAGTTTCAGATTTCAAGCTCAGGTAGCTGTTTGTTTCTTTTCTTTTCACTAGGAAGAGTGAATATGAAGAGTTGGGGGAAATGTTTTGAAAGTTTTTTTTTGTTTTTTTTCTGTTTTTTGCTTTAAGAAAATAAACTGGATTGTCCAGGGAAATAAGAGGAAAAAATGTTATATTCCTGAACTAAGTGATCCTATTTCTAAACTTGTATTCTTCATTGACCTGATAAACATTTTGAATATGCTAAACTTATAGCTTCAGGTTATTATAATAATGTATAACATCAGGAAGTCTATAAAGTGCAAACCTTAGCTCTGGGCAAAGCAGCTTGCAGGTGGTAATTTAATTCACTTCAGTTTTTCAGTCATTAGGAAGGTTTGAACCACAGTACTTGAAAGAATATGCAGATATAATTTTAAATGTGTATGCAGAGTTTGACTTTTATTTTCTACTCCACTGACTGTGGATGTTTCTATTATATAATTGCTAACCCACTAAATGTAAATGAAAGGTCTACTGTTTCTGGTCAATTTTAGTTGGAGTTGATGAAACCTAATTATCATATGCAAATTCATTTTAATGAATAAATGATCTCTATCAGCTGTACTGCAGTCTAGCATTATAAGTAGTGGAAACTACAACCCCCACCACATTTTT